CAAATGTTTTTTCTAAATTTGGATTTCAATTTTTTTTGGGCCCCTTTTGGTTTTACATTTGCACAGTCAAAAAAAAAAAAAAACTAACGGGACCAAACACATTTGGCATATACACGAGCAAGTCGCGTGAGCTTTTCTGACCATTGGTATGTTTGATTTGCTTGCTTGCTTGCTTGTTTTATTTGTTCAACTTTACTTTACTTCACTTTACTTTATTGACATCATCAACCTGGCTTCCTGTTGGCTTTCTTTCTCTCATTCATTCTCTCTCTCACTTTTATTGTTTTGCTTTGAGGAGATTTTTCGTTTTCCCCTATTTCTGTAAATCAATGTTACCACAATGGGTACACACGCGACAAATCACAACACACGACTGGCTTATTTGTATGGCTTTTTTTCTAAGAATACCGTGAATGACCTTGAATTATCATCATCATCTGTGTGGACCTTATGGTCAAATAATAACCAATATTTTTTTTTGTTGAAAAGAGAAAGATTAGAGAAAAAGCAAATGGTCCCGTTATATTTTTATTTTTCTACAGTAGACAAGATTAGATTGACCATTGTCCATTCAGGCTTCAATTTCTTCTTGTTTCAAACACTTTATTGTCTTGTTATAAAATCCTTTGATGCCCAACAAAAAAAAAACAATTTTCTGGTCACTGACAACAGCCTACAAATCTTTTAGCCAGAAAAAAAAATCTTTGTACTTGTTGCAGCTTGCAGCTAATAATAATAATAATGAAGTCCAAACATTTCAATTTTGAAAAAAAATTGAATGAATAACTAACAAAGAAAAAAAAATGGTGAAAAAAAGAAATAATAATATTGAACTCGTTTAGGTCAATCAACTCTTTCGTTTCACCTTTTTGCTGTTGATGTTTTTGTTGTTCAAGTTTATAAAATGCTCAATTCAACATTCTCGATTATCAAATGTCGATGAATTCATGAATTTATGTTTGGCACGTTTTTTTGCACGCTTTTTTTTATAAAAAAAAAAATCTCATATAACAAACTTATGACCTAAAATAAGTTTTTTGTTGTTGTCCATTTATCATGAGTTTGTAGAGGATTTTTTTTTTCGTTTGTGATGGATTGAGATTGAATGTTGTCAGCCTGATAAATGAATGAATGAATAGAATCTTTATTATGGAACCTAGTTTTTTTTTGAATCCAAGATTTTTTTTTGTTTTTTTGATCTATTTTATTTCGTTTGACCTTAATGGTCAGACATCAATGATGATCATCACTGACTGACCAATTGGAACGAAAAATAAACCTGGTGATGTTGTTTAATGTCGACAAAAAAAGGCTGCTGGTCTGCTGCTTTACTGGCAAATGGCTTAATGGACATATGTCTTTCCTGTTGTTCCAAATTGATTGTTCCCGTTTTTGGAATAGAAACAGATAAAAATTTCCAATTCAACAATACAGTAAGATGTCTGAACACACAGAAAGAAAAATGATGATGAAAATTCAAGGTTAATATTGGCCACGTGCTTGTCGTACGTTTTTGCATATTTGTAAAAAAGAAAATTTTTCAATAGGGAAATATTCATAATGAAAATTTGGATTCCAAATTGAGATTTCAAAGAACACAAAAACAAAACAAAACAAAACAAAAAAGATGTGTCGTGTGCCAGTCTCGTGCCTTCTTTATGGTTTAAGTTTAGATTTGTTTTTTGAATTTGATCTGGCCGTGCCCAAATCCTGTCAGTAAAAGATTTTTGTTGTTGTTATCACTTTCACCATTTGCTCGCCTTTTTCCGTTCTTTTGTTTTTTGTTTTTTTGGATTTCATCTGTCTTTCAAATAAGAAACATTTTCTGGATTTCTACATAATACAAAACAAAAAACACACCCTTGAAATTTTCATTTTCAAAAATTTTTTCTTTTTTTCTTTTACTTTCTTTTCTGGATTTTCATCCGAATATAAAATTTTCTTGCCAAAAAATTATTTAGAAAAAAAACTACTGTTTTTTTTTGAATTTTTTCATTTTTCCAAAATATCTATCCGTTATGTTTGTTACACAGCTGTCCATTTGTAAAGAAAGAAAGCAACAAAAAATAATAATGAGGTAAAGGTCAAGAAGGTCGTTTTCGGTTAATCACACAAACTATAACCAGAAATATTTTCTGTAAGAAAAAAAATTTGGGACATGATGAAACAATGATGTTTGGATCTATGTTTCTGGTGTATTTTGAATCATTCAAAATCAAAATCAAAATGAAAAAAAAAAGAAAAACCGGGAAGAGAAAGTTATGTCATTCATATAAATGGGAAAAAAACTAGTGAGAGTCAAAGATTGACATTGAAAATTGCAATAACTATACACACACAAAGAGAGAGTCAACCTTTTTTTTTACTTTTGCATCTGTTCCTATGACATGCAAGCGGAACTGTAAAAACAACCAAAAGGGACCAATTTTTTGTTTTTGTTTTGTTATTTTACTTTGCTGTGCAATTTTACCGGTTTGTTTGAAGACCAGGTGTAATATATACTTTTAAAAATGATAATTTTGTTTCAAATATAATAAATAGTTAGCGGTAAATGAAACCAAAAGAAAAAGAAGAAGAAAAAAAAATTGATTTGAACCTTGTAACTAAAATATTGTTGAGCGGATTTGAACAAACATTCGATCAGATTTCTTTCTTTCTCTCTCTCTCTTTCCTTTTGCATTCTGAAAAATCCAAAGAAGGAGAGAGAGAAAGTAAGGCGTATATTGTCGAGTGATAGTAGCATAATCCAAAGTGAAGATCCATATAGAGATGACGAAAGAAAAAGGCGGACCATATCTTATCTATCAACAAGTTGTCATTGATTGAAACATTAATGCTACTACCACACAAACACACACACTGTTCGAATATTTAAAAAAATGATCTACCCCCCTTTCATCATTATTCTTCATTCTATTCTCATGTCACAATCAATTTCAAATTTCAAATTTTTTTTTTGTTTTCTTCTATTACCCGAAATCAAGTTTTTGACTACCTTTGGTTTTAATTCATCATCATCAACAACATTCGAAAACATGTAATGTTGTTTTAGGATTCAGATTTTTTTTTTATTATATACACAACATTTGATGATATTACACATACATACATATAGAACAGAAGACATTGATGAAAGAAAAAACTAGAACTAGTGGTCTATATGATGTTTGTTTGTAGTGATAATAATGATGATGATGATGATGGTTATATATGATGTTCGATGACGACCACCATTTGAATCCAGAAAAAAAAACATACTCACATGCTATCCACACACACACATATATATCATTCGACAAATGATGATGATGAAAACATTCGAATATTGTTTACCTGGCTTTTCAATTTTTTCAATTTATTTTTCTTCTAAACTTATTTGAATTAAAAAATATGAATTTATTCAATGAAAATTGTTTGGTGTTTGTGTTATTCGAATGAAATTTGTGAATTCTGTATCAAAAATAATAATAATCTTGTTCATTTTGATTACATCATTGAATATCATCTGACAACAACAACAACAACAACAAATTCATAAGAAGAAAATCTTATTGAAATTTCATTTCCAATGATTCGATCCGATAAAATGCGTACTACATGTAAGTTTCTCTTATTCACACTTATATTAATATTTATTGATTTGAATTGAATAGAAAAAAAACAATAATTATCAATCAATCAAATTGAAAAAAAACATGTACAATGTTTGGATTGAAAATTGAAAAAAGAAAGAAAACCTTCGAATTT